TTATGAAATGGAATAACTATGCTCTGTATAAACAACAAAGTGGGTCATCACAAATGTGGCTCTGGAATTTGGAGTGATGTTAAAATAAACTCACACAAAGGTCTTCAAGCTTCAGGAGCTATATGCATCCAGCCTTTGAAAACTAATAATGACAATCATAATGACTATGATTTATTGAATATTTATTATGTTCTAGTCTATTTACAGGTACGTAGTCTTATTTATAATCCTTTGAGGTTTTGATCTAATGTCCATTGTAGAGTTTTAAAAGGGGGCTTGGGCTGGGCACAGTGACTCACACCTGTAATCCCAGTACTTTAGGAGGTTGAGGCTGGAGGATCGCTTGAGGCCAGGAGTTCAAGACCAGCCTGGGTAACACAGTGAGACCCCATTTCTTATAAAAAAGAGAGAAACAGCCTTGCCCCCAGTCACACAAGTAAGCACTAGTGCAGGAGCTAGCTCATTAGCAGGGGCTCATCTACTTCCTAGGGTGCAGTCTTGTGCATATGTGTTCACACCCCATGCACACCTACCTGGGTGGTCTGTGAATACACCACTGTTCTTATTAAGATATGCCCTTTGTAAAACATGCCAGGGAATACCTTCTGTTGCCCTGGGAGCCAGTTCATGGTGGCAGGTGAGATAAGGATGAAGACAAGGATTTCCCAAGGCGGAGCTGGAGCTGGTGGATGCTGTGTGTGGTTGAGGGGAAGGGGAGCCAAGGCTTTCTTCCCTGGGAGATGTGGTTTGGCTCACTCACCAGGGTCAGTAGGTGTTGGGGAGTGGGGGCCTGTAGCAGTTGGGGGAAAGTGGCTATCTGACTTTCAAGAATTTCTCTGCTCAGCTCAAATGGAGCCTATCCCTATCCAAGGCGTCCCTTTTCTCGTGTGACCCAGTCCGTGTGCTAACATCATTGCACACCACAGCCTCTGACTATTAGCTCATGCAACAATTGATTTATGAGCATGCTTGGGAAAAATCAGAAAACACTGTACACATATGAGGGATGTTCCCACCTCAGGTGGCTTAACTGCACCAGGTTGCTCTCCTGTCGTAGCCAGGTGAATAACTAGGGGCTCTCACATTTTCCTCCTCCTCTTTTCTGCACTAAGCTCTTCTCTACGGGGTTTTTTTTTTAAGGGCATATGAATCTTTAAGGAGGGAATTTCAGAGAGGATAAAGGATCCTCTGGTAAAAGGTGGGGAGACATCTAGGGTCTGAACAAGAGGTAAAAGATCCAGGAGCTGGGATGCTCAGATCTTCCTTCTCAGGACCGGTCTCTCCGGCCTCTGGTCCCTCTCTCCCTACAAGCATCTGGAGCTGTCCAAGCACCTCAGGCATCCTCCTCTTCTTGGACTAGCAAAGCCAGCCCTCACTGCCTTAGAATGTGAGTGCTTCCATACAGACCTAAGACCGGAAGAGCAGCCACTCCACCCTCTGCTCCCCCTGCCCCAAGGCTTTTTGTGTGCATGGAAATAAAAATCAAGTTCGGGGAATACAGGGACATATGGGAAAGACATGTATGGTAAGAAGGGCACCTGATATCTGTGTCCTGGAGATCAAGGTTATTTTCATTCATTCACCAAAAATGGATTTTGAGTACCTGCTGTGTGCCAGGCTCTGCTGTCGGTGCTGAGAACTCATTGTTGAATAGGCTACATGGGCCCTGTTACCCTGGAGCTCAGATTTCAGGGAGAGGAAGAGAGGTACTTTTTTTTTTTTTTTTTTTTTTTTTTTTTTGAGGCGGAGTCTCACTCTGTCGCCCGGGCTGGAGTGCAGTGGCCGGATCTCAGCTCACTGCAAGCTCCGCCTCCCGGGTTTACGCCATTCTCCTGCCTCAGCCTCCCGAGTAACTGGGACTACAGGCGCCCGCCATCTCGCCCGGCTAGTTTTTTGTATTTTTTTTAGTAGAGACGGGGTTTCACCGTGTTCGCCAGGATGGTCTCGATCTCCTGACCTCGTGATCCACCCGTCTCGGCCTCCCAAAGTGCTGGGATTACAGGCTTGAGCCACCGCGCCCGGCCGAGAGGTACTTTTAAAAAAGGAATCCCCAGCACTTTCGGAGGCCGAGGCAAGAAGATTGTTTGAGCTCAGAATTTCAAGGCCAGCCTGAGCAACATGGCAAAACCCCATCTCTGCAAAAAAACAAAACAAAAAAATGAGCCGGGCATGCTGGTGCGTGCCTGTAGTCCCAGCCAATCAGGAGGCTGATGTAGGAGAATCGTTTGAGCCCAGGAAGCAGAGGCTGAAGTGAGTCAAGAGCTCATCACTGCAACCCAGCCTGGGTAACAGGAGTGAAACCCTGTCTTAAAAAGAAAAAGAAAAAAAAAGGATCAAGCTAATGAATGTATAATTATAAGTTGTGACGAGTGTAAGAAGGAGGTGAAGAGCATAAACAACAGTAAGGTGTGGGAATCCACAGAGGCTTCAGAGCATCTTTCCCATTCCTCAGGTGGGAGAGGGTTTCATGGGATTAGTCTCCACCTCCAGCACTTTTATAATCCCTTCCTTTAAATTGAGTGTGGTTAGCACAGCCTGGATTTTACAGTTTGAGAGAAAGTCCTCCTCCTTGCCTTAGGAAAGGGTGAGAGGAAACGAGAGGTTTTCAGAGACAATGCAGAACTGCTCACTAACTCTACCCAATTCCCTTCTCTCCACCCAGTCCTTCAGCCCCTCAGCAAGAAATGCTTGATTTCGCTGAGAGAAGGGTACTATTTAAACTCAATTCTTGGACTGGCTCATTTTTAATGCCTCATTACCAAGCAGCACAACCATGGTTATACATACACACTAAATATGTGTGAGGTTAAATTAGTTACAAATGTTATTGAGTTGTAGCACACAGCCCAGGTGGATTGTCACCACTTCCCACTGACATAGCATGCTTGCCTCACAGGCACTATAAAAATCAGAGCAAACATTAATTTCCACTGGCTTTTTCCTCTTTTAGTTTCCACCTCTTGTTTCTTCAGGTTTCTGACCGTAACAATGAGTAGGACCACATTCGGGCTCGTTGCTTTTTCCAGCAGAGGAGTGCTCAGGCAATGATAACAGTCTCCTCCTTCCTACCAGGTTAACAATTCGAATCCCTTATGATCTTATGGATCCAAATTCAAAATGCAGTGAGTACATTTTAAAGGAAAGAAAGGAAGAAAGGAAAGAAAGAAGGGAAAAAGAAAAAGAAAAAAGAAAGAAAGAGAAAGTCATAATTTAGGTTCGCAAAGGTGACTTTGAAAATCACTGTATCAAAATACCCTAAGGACTTTTACCCAATCCACTTTTGGAAGTGCTGGTAAATTTCTTCTGTATAGAGCCAGACAGTAAACACTGTAGGCTGCTAGGCTTAGGCTTAGTTTCTGTCGCAACTACTCTACTCAACTCTGCCACTGTAGCGAGAAGGCAGTCATCGACAGTATTTAATGGAGGTGGTTGAGCTCCAAAAACACTTCATTTATGGAGAGCAAAATTTGAAGTTCATATGACTTTCATATCACAAGATATTATTTTTTATTTTTCCAATCAATTAAAAATGTAAAAAACATTCTCAGCTTTCAGACTACACAAAAACAGGTGTTTCCCAGCTCCTGCTCTAAAATGTTACATGATGCATCACTTGGTAAAACTGGACTAAAAGTATTTGAGATAATATAGTTTTATATGCTACATGTACTTTTTAGGAAAGAACATGAAAAATCAAGTGTAGCTGGTATTTTAAAAGAATAAACATATATCATGATATATTTGGCCAAAAAATTTTGGCTATGGAGAATTCTAACATTTAACAATAAAGACAGGGCTTAGTTTTAGGAAAACAGCTTAAAATTCATACCATCCCAGTTATATTTAGCTAAATAATGAAATAGCTGTTTCTATTTACAAAGATTTATTTTGGTTTTTCTAATACAAGATAAATTATCGATTTATTTATTTATTGAGACAGGGTCTCAGTCTGTCACCCAGGCTGGAGTGTAGTGGTGTGATCTCAGCTCACTGCAACCTCTGTCTCCTGGGTTTAAGCAATCCTCCCACCTCAGCCTTCTGAGTAGCTGGGACTACAGGCATGCACCATCATGCCTGGCTAATTTGTGTAATTTTAGTAGAGATGGAGTTTCACCATGTTGGCCAGGCTGGTCTCAAACTCCTGGATTAAGTCTGCCTCGGCCTCCCAAAGTGTTGGGATTACAGCATGAGTAATCTGTCCCAGATAAGTGAGTTAAAAGCTAACGTTATTTCATGCCACAGAAGTACATAAATGATGGTATGGTTCCATCTGATGTCTCTCCAGTGTCAGAATATAATTACAAAGAAAACTAGAATGATCAACATTGATTTCAAAGAAAATATCTGAATTAAATATTTCTGTAGGTAGGTGAATAATCTCATATAAAATCTCCATATAAAAATCCCTAACATTTAGCCCTAAAGCTCTGACTAATACTAATGTGGTAGGGACACAAATGTTTTTAACTACTTAACATGTTAGTTTTAAGCTAATTGGTAATTAAACTTGTAGAGTTAAACTTAACTCTGAGCACATCATATTGTCCACCCACTGTGTGAGAGTAATTTTCTTATGGCTCAGAATTTTAAATGCCCTAATTAAGTTAGAAAAGGCTTAAAAACATTATTAAATGCTATTTTTGTTCCTGATAAATTCGTCTGGTAGTAAAATCAGCTTACTGGTATTAAAAGTGGTTATTTTGGTGGGGTGAGTGGCATTAATTATTTCACAGCAATCTGGTGGAACAGAAGTGAAGACAATGAAAAATAGGAGCTGTTAAATAAACTAACAAGTGACAGTTCCCATAGTCCCCACTGACAGAGCAGTTACTGCGCAGGAGGGACCCACCCTCCAGACAAGTGTGCTGCTCTGAGAGGTTTGGTGAGGGCGATGGTGAGTCTTCCCACTCATGTGAAAATGAGAGGCAATGCTGAATTGTATCTCCTATGAACATGAGGTCAAATGTAACATAACAACAAAATATGAGCTTCAAAGCTTATGAAGTGCCAAATGTTATTTATAGAAATATCAGCTGTGGAGAAAAATCACTACCTCATTATTCAAAAGGTTGTGAGGAAACACCTTAGACAGGAAAAAGGGTCAGAAATTAGCATACCTTACTGCCAGAAGGTGGCCCAAGTAGTTGTCAACAATCACATTTACAAAACAATTCTGAAATACCTGATTTCTCATATAAACTGGTTATTTCAATAGCTTCATTTTATAAAGTATATTCCATCTAAATAATTCCATTTTTAGAGAGTTTTCTTATAAAATGTAATTGCACATTCCAAAAGCTCATGTCCACAAATACAGAGCAGCTCATCATGGCACTTACAAACAAACCCATGTCTCATCACTAACAATTTGATGTAAGTCTCTGATATAACTTCAATCTTCCCAACTCAACTCCACTGGACATGTGACCCTGACAAATTTCTAAATAAAAAAGCATATACCTCTCTCAACTACGTAAGAATGGGTGGCAACAGATTGAGTAAATCCCTGATGAATGGATCTTGCATTTATAGAGCCAAGGAATGATATCAAGAACATCAAGATTCTAAACAATAAAATTATATTATCACTGCAACTTACACACTTTCTAAACTCTACCCTGAATATGTTCCACCTTCATTCTCAGGTGCAATGAAGAACCACGACAGTTTTCACATCATCCTACCTGGTCAGAAGTTGCCACCATTAGGACAACTAATTAAATTCAACAGTAAAGGTGTGTGTCCTATGCCCTCCAATAGGGTGTGGCTCAGGGACTGCTTGGGGTTTCAAATGGAGCCCACACTCAGGAAGCTCCCCAGGTTTCTATCACTAGTCTCTGTAACTTATATTGATGAAGATGAACACATCTGTTTTTCTTTCAAAGCAGCCAGCACAAGCTGGCACAGCTACCTCTGTGCCCACAGAACAGGGTGAAGGATCAAGGAGCAACATGGCTCTCCTCTGGGTCCCAAGTAATAGGGAGCAGGAGGCTCCCAACTCAAAGGGAGAAGCAGGCTGAATGCATTAATGAGCTGTGAGTCACATGTTTTAGGTCAGCTAGTCTTCATTTTCGTCAATCTGAAAAGATTTGGAACTCACAAACTGCATAAAGACATACAAATTACCACACATGGAAAGCCAATTAAGTTCTTTGTTTCTTTGATCATTGCTTTTCTGTTTGAATTTCCACAAAGAGGACAATCATAATCCACAAAACTGAATGTAGAGACAATACTATTCTGTGAATACTACAAAAATAATTACACAATTTAAGATATCGCACAGATTCTAGATGCTATAAAAACGTTTTTTTAAAAAGGTTTTATACTATTGCCAGTAGTGTTTGACGCATGTTTCAACAGTAAATAAAAAATCTGGATGCTGGAAAGATTCAATTGCTAGAAGAAAACGGGCATGAGGTGTATATTCTTAAAATTATTCCTCTCACACTCCACCCTCCTTTTTTTCTCTCTTGGCAATTATTAGGCTAAACTCAAATTCTTCATCAATCTCAACACACCAAACAGATGCCACTTTTCCAGGATGCTCTAAGAAAACATGTTGTTCACCTAACACAAATAGTCAAGGTAACAGAGCAATTTGGCTCCATTGTTCTTGATGACCATAATATAATCCTTCTACCTGGCTTAGTTCTTCAAGTTGTCACATCATACTTCTAACTCTACCTCTTGGACTCTCTCAGAAATACCCAGGCCCTTCTCTGGGTGATATTTCAGGAAGAATGTCTTTAAGGCAAACCAGAGGATGAACGGCAGCAGAGAGGGAAAGGCTGCAGGCTGGGTGGCTTCAGCAGTCTCGGAAGTGTGATGGGGACAGTGTCAATAAGTTATTTCTTTTCACAGATGCTGCCATAGTTTATGAATCATGTTTTCCCTGGGGCTTTCCACCTATTCAAAGGACGAGTTTCAGAGCTCGGATGAAGAGCAACTATCTTATGAACACAGAGACATTTCTCAGTTTTACAGGTCAAATTAGATTTTTGCTTGGGTTCTCACCAAAATGATAGACTTGAAAATCAGGATTTATCAAGGGGAAACTATTTTCTAAATTATTTTGACATACTGAGTGTATTAGTTTGTTTTCACACTGCTGATAAAGACATATACGAGACTCGGAAGAAAAGGGGGATTAATTTGACCTACAGTTCCATATGGCAGGGGAGGTGTCGCAATCATGGCAGAGCATGAAAGGCATTTCTTACATGGTGGTGGCAAGAGAGAATAAGAAAGAAGCAAAGTGGAAATCCCTGATAAACCCATCAGATCTCGTGAGACTTATCCGCTATCACAAGAATAGCACAGGAAAGACTGGCCCCATGATTCAACTACCTCCCACGACACGTGGGAATTCTGGGAGATACAATTCAAGTTGAGATTTGGTTGGGGACACAGTCAAACCATATCATGGAGAAACAACCTGTAGATGACAGAGTGTTATCCCCTAAGGTAGAGGAGACTTCCTTCCAACTACAAAGGCTGAGCCAAGGGAACTGCAGCTCTGAGGCAGGAGGAAAGGAGCTGGAAGCCCACCTCTTGCAGTATTGAGTGACTCACGTTGGAGCTGGGAAATCCCTGCACTATGTACCCATCTCAAGGCGAACAGAAAGTGGAGGAGAGGATGGTGGCTTTAGATGTTTAGACATTCTTTGCCAAGAACACAAAAAGAAGGCTTTGCAACCACACCCTCTCCAGGCAACTAGTGGTCACTTTGTGAAGGAAGAGGGGGAAAGAGAGACTGAGTATTTTACCTAAAGAGCTGAGCATTTACAGTCCAAAATGAATAATGTAACGAATGCAATAGATGAAGTTTACCAACAGAATTAAAATCCAGGGACATCTACCTCCCTCATAAGAGAGGTAAGACAGTTACATTTTCTTTTTCACCTGGACTGAGCATGAAGTTTGAACTCAAACTCTGCCACATAGCCTAAGGTGATGAAAGGCTCAACTAGAATTAGGGCCACAGAAATGGAAAGTCAGCCAGCACGGCCTCCTCCACTCAATTAAAGTTTATTTATTCAAAGTCTAGTAAAGACAAAAAGTTTACTGAATAAATGGGGGTAAAGAAGCTAAGTACTTCCTCACAGCTTTGGAAACTGCCAGTTGACCAAAAGAAAATGTGTATATTATCTCCAGAGCACCAACAGAATTTTAAAGATGTATAAAATCCTTTTCTTTCTGTTTTTTAAAAATTTCCTGTAAGGGTCCTTGACAGAGAGAAGAACTTAGCAAAGAACTTAGGAGGCACCTTCAGTCACTGCAGAAACACAGAGAAACTATCAAAGAAGAAAAAAGTATCAAAAAATAAGCCTTGAAGAAATTATATAGGAGTAAAATCCAATATTCAATGTAGAATTTGATGGGAACATAGGAAGTAACTCCTCTACTTTTGCATAGGAAGAAAAAAGGCTACAGTACTTTGAACATCTTAGTTTTATAAAAAATGTAGTAGTATTCTTTTCCATAATGCATAGATTTAGAAAGAAGTTCTCTAACTTTTCTTGAGCTTTGGGTTTCAGATATATTCATATTTTCTACCAGATTCGGGGAAATAAAGTGTTTGAAAAATAAGCAATCTGTCTCTGCCCCTTTAAAAAGCAATAAAAATGCTCCAAACAGAAAAGTAAAACCATGGAGACCCTATCAAATACATGGCCCTAAACCACTGTCCCCTAACAGTTCTCCAGATGGCGCTGGCTCAAATGAAATCTATCCAGGAACTGAAGTGATGCTAACAGCAGGGTCCCATTTCTCATTTACCAATAGGGCTGGATGGCACCCCAGCTCTTGTTTCCCAGCTTACTTGGCAATTTTAAATCAGACTGTTAGTATGTCAGATGACATAGTGGCTTGCTTAATACCATTTATCATTTCTTGTCTGAGGATACCATCTGACAACATGTTGAACTCTATTTAAGTCATCCTCCCAGAGAATTTAGAGCTGGATATCAAACTTAATTGATAAAAGCTGCTCTGTGATGCTATGTGATGAAGTCTTTTTGAAGGGAACTGTCATCCCCTAAAGTGCTACTCTTTCCTCACCTGTTCCTTGCTTAGTATCTGGTGTGTGCGTGTGTGTGTGTGTGTGTGTAAAAATACTTTAAAATATGTGTTCCTCTGTGTTTTCTGCGGAGACATGTTAAGCTAGAAAACTGGATTGGAAGGAAAATCTTACAATTAGCACTACTTACATGCTTGAAGCACAATCTCCCAAAGGTTTCCCAATCTTCCAGCTTCTGATTACTCCGTGGTGGCCTGGTACTTCTCATCTGATGATATATGTGATGCTACCAGCACACTGTATCTTTTAAACATTTATTTTCACTTCCATTGGCTTGATAACTTGAACCATTACAAAATGGCTCGTCAATGGTTTTGATGATTTCAGAGAAACTGATTTTGGAAACATTGGCTGGACCTCTCCAGTCATCAAATTAAACAATAGCCTTTGGGTTTCAAATCATCAGTCTGTAGGATGCATCTACCTTTCCCAAATCTCCCACCGCCCCCCTTCCTTCTTTCATTCGTTTTTAGCTTATTCTTATCCTGAAGCACAATATTCCATCTGGTCTTTTTTCTACAGTTATAAAAGTTGGTAAAGTTGACACCTCTAATTAAAAGGTTTTAATGTCAAGTTCTGAGGCAGGAGAGTGATAAAAGAAGCCACAAAGGAGATGGGGATCAATAGTAACCTTATTACAGATCATCTCTGGCTTGGTCCAAACCAGCATACTCCATTAATTATGAAGTGTGATATATCTCTTCACTGAATAAAGAAGTAACAAGAAAAAGTATATGAAACCATACCAACAACTTAACACAGAATGTTCATGATGCTGCATGTCAACTGCCAACATTTCTGTGTAAGGAAAAAAAAAATCTTCATTTCACATATTTTATTTAAAGAACCTTGTTTTATTTAAGAAATATTTAAAGTCATGTGTTAGAAGAGACTACTCAGCAACTTATATACAAACACTCACAGAGAGCAAATAATATCCTCCCAGACAAAGCATCTTGTTCCGCCCTTTAAAAAATACTATTCTCTACTGGGTAAATGGACTCCTCAGAGGATGCTTTCTTAATTAAATCAAGGGAATTAAAATCAAGACTTTTGTGAAGTTGCAAAAAAAAGACTGAAAAAAATTAATTTCAAATGGAAAGTACAGAGAATGGAACTACAATGACGAGAATGAATTCATGTATAATCTCTGAACAGGTGGAGGCTGCCCATTTGCTGCGTATAAGAACCACCGTACTGCCTGTAAGACAGAGGTGGGCTTCATTTTCTTTATTTTTTTCCTCTTCTCTCCTTTTTCCTCTCTACGACTTCAATTTAATTACAATGACTAAAGCATAGTCCATGACAGAAAAACTGCAGCAAAATTAACAAAAAACTTTAGAAAATAACTTTCTTTTTATGTAATACATCACAAAATATTTAAATTTTCAATGTTTTCTCTCTATAGAGGAAGAATGTTGACTCCTTGATCTCTATAGGTTAGTACAGATCTCGTAACAATTTTAAAAATTCAAGTTTACAACAGTTGGTAAACGTGCATCTAATAAAGATAGGCAGAGAATGGAATTATCACTCTCAACATTAAAAGGATAGTAAAAGTCACTTCAGTTTTAAAGATTATGAATTAAATCACAAATATTGATGGGGGAGGGGAGATGCACTGAAATGCCAGTGCAGATCCATTCTTAAGAACACTGTGTTCTATGAAGAGTATCCAGATAGTCACTGGACTCTCTTAAACTCAGGTTACATATTCCTTATTTTCTCTTACCAGCCCCTAATTACATGAGTGAACAAGCTCAATCTTGATCTTGATTGTCAATAGTGGGTGCATTCAAGTTCATTTATAGATATTTTAAGTAAAATATTTACATTTTTGTTTTCTGAAATTATAAACAATGTGTTCAGACATTTATGATCAAATTTCTTTGAGTGGAATTTGATCTATTGATTACGGTTTTCTTTAAGTGCATTAAATCTGCCTTTTAATATATGTTAAGTAATGCAAAATGAAGAATTTTCTACATTTATCAGCCACAAGAACAAAAAATAAGGTGCCTGTAACTTCAAGAGTCCCACATGAATAACTGCAGATTATTATTATTAAAGTTACTTGGGCTTTATTGCTGTATTGATCATTCATCTGCACATTCTACACAGTTAATTTTTCTGATCTGGATTGCAGAAAAAAATTGGACAGAGATACCACTTGGGTACCAACTCCAGTTTTGTTGTTAATTTGATGTGCTACAGGGTTTCCATTTTCTCATGTGCAAAATAAAGGTGCTCAACAGGTGGTCTCTGAGTTCTGTTTCACTCCAAGTCTTCCAAATTCCATAATACCTAATTTTGAGCATAGTCCTTTGCTCAAAAATCTACTATTTGTTACAGTGCAAACCTGGATTTCCCAGAATATGTGCTTGAGCATATTTCACCTATGAGCATGTTTCACCCTGTGAACTCATCTTGCAATAGCCTCCTCTTTACCAGTTGAATTCCAACTCATTCTTACAGGTCTAGTTCAAGGCCAGTGTTTCACTGAAATCTTCCTAATCCCTGAACCTGAAACTAACCATTTTCTCCTTTGAAGATTCAAATAATTCATTTATATATTTTAAAATATCTATTTACTATCTATTGTCTATCATCTTACCATTATCTATAAACATACTGTAGCATCTCTTCAACTAAATTATAAGCTCCTGAAGGGAAAAAAAAAGTCTTTTTCATCTTTATATTACCTCATGTTGCCTAGAATAGTCACTGGTACACAGTAGGCACTCAATAAATACTTGTTGATGAGTGAGCAGTACACATGGTAAGAGCTTATAAATGGGCGTTGAATTCATCACCAAAAATGCAGTAACTTATTCTGTATCTGTTTTATTGAAATAAACCAATTAAATTTCTATTATATGCCACTTCAAAACAACCAAACATGACATCTTTAAAGCAAATCAATCATTTGGTACAAAAGTTCGACCCTCTGACTTTATGGTCATGATGTATGATATAATAAAATATACTGTTCAACGCAATAAATATGGAGTTGTGGGCAAAAGCCCAACCACATGCCTTAATAATGGAGCCCAGCCCCCATCTGTTGAAAAAAAGTAGATAGGTATGAAAAAAGGGACTCAAGGGTCACTTCCATTAAGAGAGGCAGAGAGAACAAGTTGACCAGAGGAAGACGAGCCCTCAAAAGTTGAGTCCCTAAATCATAGGATGAAGTACTTAAGGACACTGAGCTTAAGTGGACAAAGATGCCTCATTTAAAGGCCCAGTAAGCCTCCATTTGCATGAGGCCCCCTTCCAGCCCTGCTACAATTTCCCTACCTAGGGTTGCTACGTGCAGTTTTCTTGCTCTAGGTTCTAGCGGAAGAGGACCCTAGGGCCCTTGCTCACCACTGGGAGGAAGAAAGGTCATCTGTGTGCCCCAGGCCTCCAGGCACAAGTTCAGCAGGTGTCTTCTATCCCACACTCATGTCTCTGACTCCAGCACTGCTAACAGGATCATTCCCACTTTCCATCCCAGTCCTGTTCCTACTAAAACTACCTTAATCTGCCTAGTCTAAGGATGTGTGTGAACATCTCCTCTTCTCCACTCCTGAATGGCTCTGATACCTGCCTTCTTGAGGTAAGTCCCAGGCTCACCCCACCACGGGAGCCACAAGAGCACAAGTCCTGTAAAAGCACAATTCCAGCAGTGTTCAAGGCCTGTTTGTTGGTGGTAATCACGGGAGCCATTAGGACAATGATCTGCATTCTCCGTTTTCACAAAGAAACTGGCACACTTCTGAAATACTATTTTATTAATAGAGTCTAGAAATTGAAAAGTAATCACAATCTTGATAGCATAAATACACATCCGTATATTTCAGGAGGTACCATGGCACTGTCCTCACAGGAAGACACACTTTAGGCATGTAGACTGGCCACAACACAGGAGTTCTGGAGGAGTTTCTCAACTTGCCTTTACTTCTCATTCGCCTCCACACATTATACATGGGAAGTCAACAGAATGAAATAAGATCTTATTTCTAAGGTTAATTTTGGGTCAAGCTCAACATAACATTACAAAAATAAAGAGCTATATTTAGAGTTACGGGCTGTCCGAGACCTTTAGTACATTTCCCATCAATATTTAATCTATTCTGGCTAGCTTTAATAAATTGTCACAAGGAAAGAAACCATTAAGTCACTAAAAGAACTGTAAAATATCACAAGAGTTATAATATTGCGGCAGCTATAATTTGAATTTAATTTTAAATTTTATCAGCTTATTTTGTCAGATGGAATTAACAGAACATATCGATAAATAAGGCAGTATAAGGCTGCACAGCTATTTTAATTATACATTATAAAAGAGTAATTTTATAATTTAAAAATTTTAAGCAAGCTAGCATATTCTGTCTTGTCAATTCTAAAACAATATAATGATACAGTTAGATGCAGATAAGAGTTACATATTCAGTGCTAGCAACTACCATTCCAAGAGGAAGGAGCAGGGAACCAAGGAGCAATGAGCCATTCCTGAGCTGAATATTGCTGTGAGTGCCGTAAAGGTTGCTGGTGGCCATAAGGATTTTTAACACAGACCATGAGAATCCAGCTATGATCACACTCCTGATGGAGCAGAAATCAGCCCCTGAACTTGGCCTGCCCTGTTATGCTGTTATCACCTACACGGGGGACTACCACCCTACTCTCAGGAAGTCCCTGTTAAAAAGCTTGCCACGAAGAAACGTCACTGTATGACTATCACAGAAACCAAAGAAATGTCTTAGGGGGTAAATCATATTAGATTTTGGTCAATGAAACAGGTCTGTGATTTTATTAGTGGCTTATGCTTAAAAAACGTCTATAAATATTGGTTACTTTTTTTGGCTGTGTCTCATAAAACTTAAGAAGTCAAGAACTATCTAGGCAGTCTGGGTCACAGCATGTAAAAGTTCTTCAAACTTTTCCATTTTTACCCCTTTTTCCATTTCCCCACCAAAGGAATCTCAGCATAAGCTTGCTGTGTTGATGCTGGTCCCCGGCCTTGCTTTCTCTCCTGGTGGACTCGATGGCTCCCCGAGGATGGGGCTGTTCGTATGAGTCTTTGTGGCCCCCTTTGGCACTTAGCACAGTGGCACTCAGCACCCGAGCATAATCAGACACCTGATCTGGCCTCCCTCCTCTCTGCAGGAAGGTGCCACTCTATGTAATTTGCTTGCAGTGTCCAGTATTCAGTTCCTGGTGTCTCTTAAGGTTACCATGAACGCTAGGAAGGAAACAGCCCCCACTACAATGTGTGACTACTTCATAGGAATCTATGAAATGTGCAAATATCACTTTTTTAAAGGTAATAAACTCATAAGCTGTTTAAAACATTGCATTCTTCTGACTTGTACTTCTAGACTTATTCAACCAAAGACTACAGAAGCATTTTCCAAAATACATTCTTCAGAACCTTTGTTTTTAGAAGTAGAATTCCAATGGTCAAGTCAATTTGTGAAACTGGAAACTGATTACTTTTGTTCAAACTAGTATTTCCCAAAATTATTTAATCAAGGAAAATAATAAAAAATTATTTTCCCCCCATGTGATATTTACTAATATCCTATGAAACCCTTCCTGTATGTGATATTTACTAACATCCTAAGAAACCTATGAAGTAGTCACAATTTGAGAAGTGCTGGCCTAACGTCTTTTTTCTTTCCCTTGAATTGCATAAATCCCTCTAAATTACAGCTTTCAGACAACTTATAAAACAGTCAAAAATATTTCTGTTTAGGTTTATGATGCTGATCCTGTTTTGTCCTTGAGCACGGCAAGCTACATCAGAAGAAACCTTAGTGATCTTAGCTTGTGCTTTTGGAGTGGAGGCGGTAGCAGATGAGGTACTAACCCCCAGGCACTCTAAACAGTACTGGAAGACAGCCTGGCCCATCTGGGAGGGGAGTGTCCAACACCACCCTTAACCCTGATAGGTTGAAGAGTCACTGACAGCTTCAACTACATCATACACTTTAAATGGGTGTCCTTCACCCACTAAAATCTCTCTTAGAGTTACGGTAAATAAAAAATTACAATAAGAGCAGGATGTGATTAAGAAAATTCAAGGTAAATCTTAAGTACAAAAATGTAATATTCTAGGTATCCTGAGGATACCCTATTAGTGTTAAGCTGATTACAAGTACAGGTGTCACAGAGCAGCTGCCGTAAGAAGGGAAACCACTGCCTGGTGCAGAGTCATGTGATACAGGCACCTGCCCCTCATGGCATTACATTTTTAGGTTAAATTGCTTGCCTTTACCAGTTGAAAAAATGAAAATAAAATGAAAACAAATAAATTAATGACTGGCTGCAGGAGAAGATTTTTAAAAACTCTTTCCTACATCTGTGTGGAAAATAGTGCATCCTTTAAAAATCAATTCAGATATAGTTGAGAAGCTAACTAATGTTTAATCCAACTGAGGTGTCTCCGAATTCTGCTTTCGAAAACAACAACACGCTAATCTCTTTCAAATACAGCAAGGTCAGGGGAATTATTTCTCCAGCATAGGTGAATGAAGCATGAAATAGGAAAGTGCACTTCAGCAAAAGCTCCAAAGTATGTCTGATGTGTTGTCTTAGGACATCTCTCTCACCCAGGCTATGTAAAAAGACAAAGGACAACTCACCATGTCATACGTTGTTACGATCTTCTTCAGAACCTCTGGCACAATTCCCTGCAGCTCCATTGTGGGGTACTGCTCGCTGAGATTCAGGACCACTAGGGGTGTGTTATCAGGCCCCAGAAAGCGGGGGGACACCGCCAACATGCACTGCATGAGATTGGCCACAGAGGACAGACCACACAGCTCCTTGAATGACACCACCGCATTCTGTTAAATGGAAAGAAAGAAGCATTTGTAATTAACTGGGGGTTTCAATTTCTCATGGATATTATATTTGATATACCTGTTTACGTTTGAACCACCTGGTACAACAGTTATTAGCAGTGTTATAACAGAATTGGCTAATGATTATTTTATCCTGGGAAAAATGGCTACTATCCAAAGTAAATGCTATTATGGGCATTCGTAACACCAATTTATCAAAAGTACTGAAAATGCAAATAAGTCAAATTCTTCCGAAGGGCAAGGCCTCTTTTCAGCCCAAAGTTCATAGTAGTGCTGATGCGGATAAGCAACTACGAGCAAACAGAGAGAACGGCTTCTGCATTCAAAGAGGGTAAAGATTTAGGGGGAAAAAATCCAATCTGGTTTAAAATAAGTATCAAATATACCAGCCATACAAAAGGGAAAGAAATATTTGCAAGGTGGAAACCTGAATCTCTCATCTATTTATGCTTGCTGGCTCAAAATCTAAAGAACCTTTGAGGATGCTACTGTTCTCTGGTGAGTCTGCCCAGCAGGGACCTTGGTTACCTGTGACCTTCCCCTATTAGAGTCACGGCTGATCTCAATGCCTCTCTCTTTTTTCTAATCACCAGAGGTATGCCATTTAAATATCCACGAAAGAAAAACCTTCAACACTGTAAAATGCCATGAGCTGGCCTTCTTTGAACACTTATCAAGTGCTAAGCCATACTAGGCATACTTATTACACATTACTTCCATTTAATCCACACAGCAAGCCATGTTATGGATGAGAAGACTGAGCCTTGGCTATAATCCTTCTCTGTTTGTCTAGGGTCACACAGCTAGTAAGTGAAGGAGTCAAGATTTTAGCTGAAGGCTGTTGATGTTAAGGCCCAGGCTTTGAGTCACCATGAGTAATAACAGGCCAATTATAATCATAATAAGAGTCAGGTGGGCTATTTCAGGCACACTTGGGTCCTGGTCTGGGCTGGGCATGTGGGCAGAGGGGGTAGATCTAGGCCCTGCAGGCCTGTGCCTTCTGCTCTCAAATAACCCAGGTTCTTGGGAATGAACAACACTTTAGTTTTAAATTTAAACATTTCATTTTTATTAATATTGCTTTAAATATGGACATCAAACTATATATCATTGGCTCAAATCACATTGATATATTCAGTTACAGAAATCAATCATGACTGTGATATTTAAAGTGCGGTTCCCCAGTCACTCTTATCACACCACTTACTCATATCTGCAGTTGTTCTATTTGTTTAACTGCCTGCCTCCTGTCTGTTTCCCCTTCCCACTGCCTGCCCCCAACTAGCATGCAAGCCCCTTGACGGCAGGCAGTCAATCTGTTTGTTCACCACTGCATCTTCATGGCCTAGACTGCTTGTGCATGGCAGCTGCTCATTCAGTATCACTACCGACTGCTTTGTCAGGTTCAGTGCAGACGAGGCTTTGGAAAAGACAATGCTTGAGCTCTGACAAATCCTCAAAGGAATTCTGTGTCACACACACCCCAGCAGCCACTGGGCAGTGGACAATGCACTTGCTCAGAGCTGAGGGTTTACCAAACCACCTTCACCCTCAGAAACAGGGAAAAGCCCTTCATATGTCTGTTATGCTTTTACTTTAAGAGAAAAGAAACAAATTTCCTTATTGTGGGAAGGTCTTTTTATTCATGAAGTATACACAGAATTAGTAGACAGGGAAAATATGTTGAATTTTCTCAGTCAGATTTTATTTGTTGGCATCATTCTCATTGGTCATTTTAAAATATAATTTTTTGAAATACAAAATAAACAGACATGGAGCACTTATCACACACACACCACTTCTCACACACTATGACAGGTCAGGGCTGCTGTCTCCATGAGGCAGGTCCTTGCTGTCTAGCTCTGTGTCACTCAGGGGTCCTAGTGTATGGCTAGATGTGTGGGCGATCCTTAATTAAAAATGTAATTCCTAACTGATTGCTTTTAGCCATTATATATTTCAGAGGTAATTACTATCTTAAACTTCTAATAAATACAGGCACCTCTTTTACTCACAGAATTAGCTATCCTCTCAAATCAAGAGGAGGCTCACTTTGCATACACATAGATTTACAGTTCATTTAAAGGCTTCCCATCTCCTCAGCATTACAGCTTCATAAGAAAGGACTGGATCACATCCATTTTACTTTGACTTATATCCTTTTTATTTTGATAGATCATCAATTTGTGTTCCAGGTAAGGAATATTCAGAAATCCCAGAGATTCCTATGTATACTATTAGAAAAAAAGAGGAACTTTTCAGCAGTCATTAATGGAGACTGGGACAAAGGTGTGTAACACAGCAACGAGACTCACTTATCCTAATATGTAATCAATATTTTCAACACCAATTGTACACTTAGGAATTTAAATGATAAAAAAGAGACTAGTGGTAAACATTCTAATAACTAATTGGAATTTAAAAACTACATAAATATACTATTATTTAAAAAACCAATATATTTATAAACTATGGAGATGTACTAAGTAGGAAAACCATTGAGTAAATAATTAAACACAAGCACGCACCTGCATGTTTTCTCTCAGATCTGTGGCATCCCGTATAGGGGGCTGGGCATTCTTGAATACCTCATCCACAGTTTTAATCCACAATGTTCTCAAAGATGCATATTCCCTGGATTTCTTCCCTTTTCTCACAGAAAGGCCCCTTTTATGAGGCTTCCCTCCTCCTCTTCGGTTAGTAATAGCCACGTGGACAAATAAGGAAGCATGTGCAAGGACCTCTCCAGTTAAGGACTGCAGGGGGACATGGCGGTAGCCCGTCTGTAAACATTCAAAGGGAATTGTATACTGGCCGATGAATTCATCCCCGATGTAGTCATCATCCAGCACTACAAAGCGCACCATGGCCAATTCTGGCAGGTTGATTTGAAATTCAAAGCTTTCATCAAAAATGGGAGCGTCTCCATTCTGGTGCACTGTTTTTGTCCTTTGTTCTGCACAATCAGCAGGGATTCCATGGATTTCAACATAGACATAAGGATCCACCACGTCACCTTTGGCACCTGATCCTTTGGGCTTGGGAAAGTTCTGCCCACTGATGATTTTAATGTGAAGAAGTTGAGGTGAGACCCCTGGGACAGAGTCTTTTGTATTGGCACTGAAGAAGGAGACCTCCTCTCTCATGATGGCTGGCCGGAGGACATAGCCACAGTTTCCGTTCTGCCTAAACCAGCCAATATTCAGGTCCATCATCAGTCCTGGTGTCTGAAAGTTCATGGCTACAATTTGGCAACCACATTTCCAAAAATCTTGAGGGTTCATGTTACTGGAGTCAATTCTCATTGGACTGGGAAAAACCCTAGCAAGAAAACGCTTGTTGTAATTTACAAAGTCCCCTGGATTTTCATTGGCGTACTTGCTGGCAAGCACTTCATTAAACGAACAGACTTCCCAATACTTCTGAACCTGAAATGACACCTGAAATTCTTTGAACTGAACTGATTTGCAGATGCTGACCAGTTCAGATAGTTCTTTACAAAGCTGAAATCGCTTCACAGGCACATTGTTGGGTTGCTCCACGTTTTCTTTTCCCATCCTCTGAGACATTTCTGCTCCTTCATCTTCATCAGTAACATCTCCTTCTACCCCAGAGCAATTTGAGGACAGCTTCTTTGCTTTAATTAGTATTTTCCCTTTCAGGACATCTGGGGATGGTAGATAAGATTCCTCAACATTGGGTGATGTTGTATAGAGCTTGTCTCCTAAAAGTTTCTTCATGTGCTGAACCATTACCTTCTGTTGTTTAATGGAACAGTGGTTTTCTAAACACAAGATAAGAGGATACTCTGAAGCAAAGAATGCATACTTGTTAATAATATCGATGACACTGCGGAAAACTATCTGAGAGGTCATGGTGTGGCCTGTGTAAATCACAGGTTCATTGTCTGGCCCATCCCATACATCTAATTCAACACTCCGGCAACCCATTTTAAGAGCTCGAATATATCCTGTGATGTCGGAGGGACCTCGGAACTGATCCTCTATTAAGTATGTATTATGAGATGAATTTATAAAGTAATGAGACAGAGGTTGCTTCATATCCTGACAGACCTTCTTATGTTCTGGATCAAATATATAACAGTCAGGTGACATAAGGTAATTAGTGAACCCATCTATGGACAGCCAGCCCTTTTCCTGACCCTCTTTGGATGGCTCATATTTGTGAATAATTTCAAGGCTTATTTCCTCATTTATATGTGCCACACCCTGTTCTGCCTCAAGAAACATCATAAGGTCCTTGATATCAAGGAATTCTTTATTGCTTGAAAACTGAACTAAAAGGAAATAAATTTCAGGTCTAGTACAAAGCTCATGAAAAACCTCAATAAATTCTTCCTTTGTGACCTCGGTACCAGCTTTGTCCTTTGATTTATGCAATTCTTTGAACTTAAGCTCAATTTTGCTTGTTTTTAAACCGGGATTGAGGTTTCTGATACATTGCACAGCATTACACAGAGTTATATGTCCAAGGTTATCTACATCAATTTCACTAAACATTTGTGAAACCCAAGAAGTCCTCATGTTATCTTGGCTACTTTCTAACATATCAAGTGTATGTTTTCCATAAGAAATTAGGTACCGCAGTCCTGTAACCCAGATGTTTGCAACATCTGCAGAGTTGGCAACCAAATCCAGTGACTCATAATTCTCTCCATATATGACAGAAAATGCACAATCTTCAGATATCTGGTCAGAAATGCCATTGCTGCGGAATATGTCTGTGTTTTTTCCTGTTCTCACTTCCTTGATGGATTTAATGTCAATCTTGGCTTTCTCGGAATCCTTCTTAGATGGCTCCCACCTTAGGCTCTGCATGTCGGCATCCAGTAAAAAGTACCTATGATAAATTCTAGAGTTGGAGCGAACCTTTTTGAGTTCTGAACCCTCAACCATTGAATTAATACAATCACTCGCACTGCTGATCTTCTTCTCTGTTGGCATGCTGCTGAATGAGACTGTCTTTTTCCGTTCCCTCTTCTGTTTTGTACCATCCTGAGAGAAAAAAAGACAGCATATTAGAATAACATAAATATAGGTTTCCATGTTCAAGATTATGAATAGAAATTTAATTTCCTTGAAAACAAATCATACTATTAAGATTTCCTATTCTAGGTCCTGTGATGAATGACACTCATTCGTCTCCAAAGCTCAGAATTGGCCTTGGAGTTGACAACCTAATACCAACAGGTATGAAATCATTATTGGATAATTGCAATTCATATTTATCAAGAAGAACAATTTCAGGCCAGGCACAGAGGTTCACACCTATAAACTCAGCACTTTGGGAGGCTAAGGCAGGAGGATTGCTTGAGGCAAGGAGTTTGAGACCAACCTGGGTAACACAGTGAGATCCCATCTCTACGAAAAAAAAAAATGTTGGTGGGGCGTAGTGGCTCATGCCTGTAATCCCAGCACTCTGGGAGGCCGAGGCGGGCAGATCACCTGAGGTCAGGAGTTTGAGACCAGCCTGGCCAACATGGTGAATCCCTGTCTCTACTAAAAATACAAAAATTAGTCAGGCATGGTGGTGGGTGCCTGTAATCCCACCTACTCAGGAGGCTGAGGCAGGAGAATCGCTGGAATCCGGGAGGTAAACGTTGCAGTGAGCCGAGATTGTGTCGCTGCACTCTAGCCTGGGCAACAGAGTGAGAATCCATCTCAAAAAAAAAAAAAATTAATTAGCCAGATATAGTGGCTCGTGCCTGTAGTCCTAGCTATTCAGGGGACTGAGATGGGAAGATTGCTTGAGCCCAGGAGATTGAGGCTGCAATGAGCTATGATCTTGCCACAGCACTCCAATCTGGACATCAGTACAAGATTCTGTCTCAAAAAATAGAAAGAAAGAAACAATTTTCAGAGCCCAGAGGAAAGTGAAAAGGCAGGATTCCTTGATTAAAAATTATTAAGAATTTCAAGGTGACAGAAGAGCTAAGTGAAGCCCAGGGCTCTTCTGAGTCAGTGTGAAACCTGTGCAACTGTACAGGTCATATACCATGAAACAAGCCCTGTTTCTATGTACACCGCCTACACCAATGCTTCTCAAAGGCTTGTCACCAGACCACCCGCCTCAGAATCATCTGGGTTACCCCCGGTTACAATGCAGATTCCTAGGCCCATGGAACCAGCTCCCTGGGGCTGGTGCCCAGGAATTTACATTCAAGGTAGCATTCCATGTGATGGGGGATGTACACTAACGTTTAAAAACCATTTCCTGACTACTTGGGCTAAGATGTCTAGACTATTTCTGGAAACTATTTGTACCAAATGATAAGAAACAGCTAAGTACCAACTAATTAAGTATCTGTTAAATGGGAATTCCAGCAGAAATTCCTCTCTCCAAAGTCTCATACTAGATCAGTCATCAATATACATCAGATAGACATGTAAGTCTGAGATGAAGGGCTAGATTATAGTTGTTGGAGCTTCTAAAATCATAGAGTTGGATTTATTAAAACCTATTACTATACACCAATGCTTAGAACAGTGTCACCTTGTATTTTAATATTAACAGATTATTAAAAGGACTAAGTTTAAAACTTCAGGCAGCACTTATTTCTAAAGAAGTTAGCATCACCAATAAGGCACTGTTCAACTTTCCTGCTTAAGGTAACATGTTCTCATCTTAAGGGGCTGACAACCACATCTGTGTGTGTATTTAAGTCCTTCCTTGTATAGAGATCTTTACTATTTGAAAAAAAAATGCTCAAATTACCTCAAAAGATCTTTCACAATTTTAAACCCAAAAGATGATACTGCCTTTCAGTATGTGCATAAAATCTATGACAAATTTTCAGTATTCATTGTATTCATAAATAAGAAATAGGGATGTGAGTTGGAATTATATCACTTTCATGACAAAGAAAAGAACATTGTTAAATATTATCCAAAGGCAATTCTAATTTTCCTGCTCTGGATAGAAAATCTCTATATTTTAAAAAGCTATTATGCTATACTCTATCTCTGAAATTTAAAACCACTTTTACTTTCTAACTACCTATACTTCCAAAAGCAATTTGCAGAAGGTAATTAAACTTAAACTTTAAATCATATGGGTATCATTTTCCTCAAAGTTTCAAAATGAACCATAGAAGCTTTTGTGATCTGAGTGCCAAGACAAAACATAAAAGCCACAAGGTAGAATATTTCTTTACAACTATATCCTCAGAACAATAAAGTGCAAAATACATAAAAACTGTGGTAATTGTATCTGTAAGATACATTATATTATAGCCATTCCAAATCCTAAAGCATAGATTGTACTATATCAGTTCGAGTGAGTTAGCATGAAATTAGTTTTGTAATCAGCCATGCATAAGGACATGAAACAAATGTATAAATTTTCTATTTTTCAGAATGACGTCTTTAGTTTTTTTTTTTTTTTTTTTTAGTAGAGACAGGGTTTCACCATGTTAGCCAGATGGTCTTGATCTCATGACCTTGTGATCCACATGCCTTGGCCTCCCAAAGTGCTGGGATTACAGGCATGAGCCACCGCGCCCAACCGATGTCTTTAGTTTTTAAAAGGCACATTTACCTTTGATAAAGGCAATATACTGACTCAGTAAGGTAATTTTATAATCTTTATATATTGTGTCTCAAAGACGACATTAGTAGAACAATTACAAAAATATATGGAGGTATTTATCCACTGAGCCATTAAGAAATATATAGTAATTTCTCAACATTGTAATCTTTTATTCTTTCATTTTTATAGGCTGATTAATATTTGGTTACACTTTCTAATTTGTTATAAATGATATATTTCAGATAAATAGGTTTCTTTTTTATTAAGACGGAAAAGGCCTAATAGGAAAGTAAGTTAATAACATACACACATACTCACATACCCATGTATGGGTGCATACCATAAATATGTTTGGTATATGTTTAAGCTTAAACACCATACCGTGGCTTTAAAAACATCGCCATGCTTTTCACAAAGCAGCCCAGGCTTTGAATGGAGACTTCTGGTCATCAATTGCAGACACATGAACATGGTGACCACCCAAGCACGGGCAGATATAATGACATCAAGGACACCCCTTAGCAGAGACTTCCCGTCTCTTTCTCTCCCTCCATCTGCTGTCGCCTAGAACCGTCTGTCCTCTCCATAGCACACTAAGGCCTGAATCTATTTCTCCTTCCTCACTAGCAGATAGTGATCAGAAAACACCGACAGAGGAGTATGCTTGTTTAGAGGCCAAAAAGGAAGAGAAACAGATGTGAGCTTGCACTCATCAATGGGTGGACCAGAATCTCTGGCTGGGAGCAACAAGTGGATGTGACTACAGGAGAAGCTGGCGAACTGGTCTTACACAGCCAGGAGAACAGGAAGGGGAGGACAGAAGCACTTGTGTGGGAGGTACGGAGAACTGGAGTTCGATGGCAGGAGATTGAGCCCCAAATTGCCTAATTCCTAGAATCCTTATCCCACTTTTACTCATTTCAACTTGGTTTTCATTGTTCAGCCTGGCAGTGATCAAATACTTGCATAAGCTGAGTAGCTGGTCAGAAGCAGAGAGCTGGGATCTACTGTCTATGCTGCCTTGTAATGCAAGTTAGTTTAAACTAAATAATGGAAATTATTCAAACTACATGTGCTATACATATAGCTTTCTAACTGGAAGAACATTAAATACATAATACTCACATGCATTAACCATCTAAAACCAGAGGAAAAAATGCAGGTTTCTGCTGAGACAGTTGTGCCTCAAAATACTTTTTAAAAATAGTATAAATGATTTCTCAGAGTTGGCTGTTATATTGTGAAGGAGCACTCATCACCCAAAGCTTCTGAATGATGAACACAACAAAAGTTGGAAACTTGGTGCAATTCTCCTACTCTATTAGCACTTAGTAACCTCAAGAGAAAGAATACACAAAAAATGTCCGGACTGGAAGAAAACTGCTTCCAAAGAACCTACCTCCATATCAACCCTGAAATTTTGCATTTGTTGACAATCATAAAATTTAGAACTAGAAAGAAACAAAGGTTCATTTGCACATTAGCCAACACTTATTTACAGAATAACAATTTCATAGCAGGAATGATTTTAGGTAAAGCAATGAACTAGGAAGAGGCTAGGGAAACATTCTGCACCACAGCAAATTCAGGGAAAATAAAAATGTTTATAGAACTCATACTTAGCATTAACAATACAAATAGCCATATTGAGTCCTATGGAAAAACATACACCTTTCTAACATAACTGCCTACTTTATTTAACAGAAGGTTGTCACTAAAAATAGGAGGCCACTAAAATTACCATCTGGGATACTTAAGTAGTGGCAATTTCATAAATGGGCATGGGTAATTTCACAAATTCTCATCCTGAAATGGGATAAGGAATAGGTGAACCTCATTTCTTCTGCTGGCAACAAAGTGTCTGGCACTGATTCAATTGATTTAGCTTGCTCTGGAGAAGAGGAACGAGAAACCCAGTTGTGGAGTTGCAGTCTTGTCTAAGGGCACACAGATAGTTAATGCCCTGCTGGAAGAAAATTACCTCGTTTCCTATTCCATTTGAAAGACCTGAAAGACTTCCACTTGAAAGACTCCTGTCTTTCAAGACTCATCTGTTCCCATTTTCTGTTTGATTATTCCTCAAAAAAATCATGAGCAAATGATGTTTTAATATCCAGATTCAATACCCTGGCCAAACAGTGACCAAGTCTAAGCAGTCATTCTGGTGTGGGGCTGGGGTGTGAGCACAGGGTGGCTTAGAATGGGGAGAGGGTGTAGTATGAAAACAAAGCGGCCGTTTATCTCTCTGGTTTGCTTGAATCAAGTTATTTAATTTGAAATATAAGTAACATTAAAGAAAGGTAGGGGATCTTCATGTTTATCAAGGGGGATCCAGAATTAGACAGTTGAGAAACTGGGGGTTAAAAAAATTTCTTTTACAAAACAACACAAAACAAAACAAAAAACCCCAAGAAAGAACTTGAGGTCCATTAAACGAGCACAGCAAGGCCTGACCTTTCTTCAGCTC